ACGCGATCTTCATTTCCTCGCTGTCCGGGTCAATGTAGTAGACCAAGGCATCGACGGACTTGGTGAAATCATCGGTAGTGCACACGTTCACGTTGGTTCCAGTGGAGGACTCCGCGGCGAAGTGGGCGGCCGTGGCCAGGTAGTCGTATCCAGCCTTGGGCTTCATGATGTAGGCAACCAGCACGTGCTTGCCGTTCCTCGGCTCAAACTCTGTCATTAGTTTCGGATGCAGGAGAAAACTAATCATCAGGCATCAGGGTCAACGCAGTTTTAGAAACTGCTGATGACCTGGTGTGGCGCAGTCAGCCACTACGTGCTCATGAACCTGTGACACATGCACAACTGACCTGCATGAGCTTTGCTTTGCAGCCATAAACAGCTTGACTCGCAGCCAATACAGACTCTTTTTTGCTACTGATGCGGGAGCTTCAGAAGATAAGGATCCCTTTCCGGGAGTCCCTGGAGTAAGGATTGTATTTCGGAAGGGCTCATATTTTACTCCCATGGCGAGGCCAGCAGTTACCTGGACCTCCCAAATACCCACTCTGTTTTGGAACCCTAAATCCTAAAGGCTTAGCCCTGAAGATTAACTTCAAAATAATGGATCAGCCATCATTATGGGACAGATGGGAGGTATAGAGTCTAAGTAGTTCTGCATAGCACAGATCCTGAGATGCTGTTCAGGAACTCAAACTACCAAACTATGGTAAAACAATAACATAGTTAGGGTTGAGAGTTTAGGGTTAAGGATTAGTTTCCTTAGAGGGGCAACTGAATATACACCCAGTTGGACCCTCCGATCTTCGGCGAGGTTCTTGACCAGGGTTGCCTCATCCAAGGACAGGTCGGCGTAACGGCTGGACTGGTCCAAGGCGCGGCGGGTCACGGCACTCTCCTGAGGCGCTTGAAGCATCTTTAGGGTTTAGGGTTTAGGTTTAGGGTTTAGGGTTTAGGGTTTAGGCTTTAGGCTTTAGGGTTTAGGGTTTAGGGTTTAGGGTTTAGGGTTTAGGAAGTCGGAGGTGTAGGAGAAGGGGACATCAAGGAGCCCTTTCCACCTGAGGTATAACCGCAACTAAACCCCATGTAACCCCATTGAAAGTGTCCATCTTGTTTTCCATTATCCCAATGTAACCCCAATATCACCCTAGAATATTCAAACAATATACTGTAATGTACTAAAGTATACTAGAATATACCCATAATGTACTACAATATGCTATCAGATCTGACGGTTCCTTGCTTTCCTGAGAAAAAAGGTCATGAACTCCCCTAGGCTTGGACGCTGAAAGTTTGCCCCGAACTCCTTGGTGGAGACGACCGAGGGTGTGACGCGGGCTTTACGGCCTGCAGCTAAGCAGAAGCTCACTTGAAGGGGAGGGCGGGAAACTGCGTAATGGAAATACAAGGCATATTGTAGGGCTTAGGGAATTGAACAAACAACGCGTGCCAGCCGACTACCTCGGACTATATAGGCGCTACTATGAGCGTTTCATGTGCTGTTTGTTGGTTAGAAGCTTGCTGTGAGAAATGCGGTTTAAAGAGCAACCCCTTGAATCACAATTTTGGGTTCAGCTGTGGCACACCGTGACACGATCCCCAGCGATGAAGTCGCTTTTTATCTATCTAGCTAGCTGCGATCTTCATGTGAGCCATAGTCAAAACTCCTAGTATCCCCCTTAATAACCGCTATAGCAGTCCCCTATATAATCCCCTATATAACCCCCCTTTAAGGAGTCTAGACTACTGCTCGTGTATTGCTGTGTTTCGTCCCACTGATCTAGTTGGGACAGTTGTCCCATGCAACCTCAGGGGTTCCAGGTCTCACAACAAATACAAGTTCGCAACGCTGCTTCCCCGTCTGTCTACAGTCACATGTTGGGCCTCCATCTACCATCAGGCACCCATTCCACTGCAGGCTTCTCATCATGACTTCTGCTAGGGCCACAAGTAAGACCATGACTCCCCTGTCCTCTGCTGACACAGTGGGCCTACTGCATGCTCCAACACTGCCACAGCAACCATGGCCGCTATGCTTGCTTTAACAGGTATATTGGCTCTTGGGGTGCTGTTACCGCCTCTTCTTCTACCTTTCGCATTACCATGTCTAGCTGATGTGACCTATGATATACAGTACACAAAGGAGGGTCGAGCATCTCTCATGTACATAAGGATGGTCAGGCAAATACTGCTAGTGGGTACCTTTCACACAGCGAGTTCGCGTCCATGCTCAACAGTGAAGCTGTACTCAGAGAACCGAAACAAGTGGGACCCTTACTGTTGCGGGGCCATCTCTGACCGGCATGCAGGTTCATCCGTGGCTCTCAACGGGGCACTAACTAGACAACTACAACTACAATCTCTCATACCCTTTCCCTGTGACTATCCAGACTCTTGCGAAATTCCATGAGGAGCGCCATATCCCTGAAATTACGCCCGAGTCTCCGACCGCACTGTCTCCTCCCAACTATCTCTTGCCTGGACGAGCTCCTGCTGCCACTGCAACAGCGGCCATAGCACCGCCGGCAGCCAGCGTGGACAGCGAGGAGGCGGCGTTGTTGGTCTGGGCCTGTGGATTGTCTGGCTCTGGGGGCAGATTCAAAATCATATCTCATCTTTTGTTTCTACAGACCCTCTGAGCGGACTTATGAGGTGTACCCATAAGGAGCCCACCGCCTTCAGAAAACGAAGCCAGGTGTCAGGAATCATTCGGTTCCAAACTAATCAAAATAAGTTGTCAGACCTTTAGGGAAAATCTTCACCCTTTCCTGCGCCCATCTGCTGGCCCTTCTCTGTCTTTTGGGCCTGCATGTGACCAGTGGACCTTAAGCAGGACTATGTTGCTTCAAGCATGTACCTTACACCATTGGTGACCTTGTTGAAGAATCCATTGCGTTGCTGTCAAGGGACTTGAATTAAGCTACCAAAATGGGTATATATAGTAATTCATCGGGTTTCCCCCATATAGCAATTTGAACTCAATTCCTCAACAGCAACCCAGTCTATGTGATGCACCTTAGATGATGACACTAGGACTAGGCTGGAACACCCATAGAACTCTACTCGACAAAATGCTTCATGATAGAACCGGTCAGCCCTACTACTTAATTTATGTTGTTCAATGTATACGGTCTCGCATAAGGAATATGTAACATCGGGGGGGGGGAGGGGGCGGTGTGTTGAACAGTGGTATGAGGGGATTATTCGCCGGGGCTTAAGCATCATGCTACAGCGATGTGCTCGTGACTCTTCTTGTTGGTGGTCATGTCAGAATAGGGGATAGGATCCCCATAATAATCCCTATAGCCCTCATATATACCCCTTTAATTCTAGCTAAACCCTAAACCCTATACCCCTGCACCCCCATGGTACCCATCTTCACTCCCCCACTCCCCCTTCAGCACCGCTAGGTCTTGTCCAAATGTTTCTTGCATAACCCCCCACCCTGCAACAGTCTATGTTACGTGTCATATTCAGGGCTATACGGAACATTGTAAATATTATCCACCTGTTAGAGTGGGTGGGCAGTACCCAACCTTTGCTACACGGTGTATGCCGGAGGGTTCAAGCACCAACCCATATGGTCTGGGTGGCAAATTACCGAAACCCTTCACCGTTTGAAGCTTTAGCGTGTGTTTTAACCGGAAAACTTCCCTTGCTGAAAGAGAGAATAAGCTTGCCGGACTTGCAGAAAAGAAATCTATATATGTACCCTAAACTCTCAGCCCTAAACCCTGTGTTGTTACCGGCTGCCCACTCTTCATAAGAGAAAGTCCCTCCCTCCAGCTTGCGCCTGCGTCTGCTTGATAACTCCTATATAGCCCCCAATATATACCCTATGATCCCTATAGTTTCCATTTTCTTTTCCATTACCCCTATATAACCTCAATATATTATAGTAGTTTCCATTTTCTTTTCCATTACCCCCAATATAATCCCATTTAATCCCAATATATAATCCTAACGTACTATAGTAGTTTCCATTTTCTTTTCCATTACCCCTATATATATCCCTAATATTACCCCTATAATTCCTATAGTTTCCATTTTCTTTTCCATTACCCCTATATAACCCTAGTATTCTCCAGCCTGCGCCTGCGCAGTGGCAGCTCCACGGAGCGTGGGTTGCGTGGATGCCGGCGTGGTCACGAAAGCGGAAGCCGCGTTGAAAAGGGCCATGCCGCCTGCCCAAATGAGCTATAGTCTAAACTCCCAGTATCCCCTTTATATCCCCTATAGTAGTCCCCTATATAATCCCCTATATAACCCCCTTGAAGGAGTTTAGAATATGGTACAAATGAGCCAGCGTCTAAACGTCTAATATCCACCTGAATAACCCCTATACTCCCCTCTGGTATATTCTATTATAATATAATCCCCTATGTATAGGCCCGTGTCAAGAAGTTTAGACTATAGCTCAGATGGGTCACTTAAGGTCGCTTCCAAACACCAAGTGCGCTGGCACTCTGAGGCTTTACATCATGAAGGCTGAAGTATGGTTGACGCACCCCTCCTCACTAACCTAATATAGTATATTAAAGTATATTATAATATCTTATAGTATATTATAGGGTAATGAAGACCCCTGAAATTGATACACCCGCCCTCCCCTCAGTAGGAGTTAGAATAGGGATCCCAATATTTAGGCCCTTAGAAGGAGGGGGTCTATTCATCGCGGGCCTACTTTACTGTATCACAAACACGCAAGTTGGGCCAGCGCTCGGGCTGGGAGTTCTTGATCGGGATATCGTCAATATAGGAAAATATAGCATAATATAATAGAATATGGTATGATATGGTGTTTGATATAGTTTACTATGGTAAAATATGGTGAAATATAGTATGGTATAGTATAATAAAGTAGAATATAGCATTGCTTGAGATTTAAGGCGCTTGAGTAGCTGGTGCATTAGACCAAAAGCGCCTTCACACGTTGAATGCACAGCATCTCAGCGTGTTCCCCTTAAAACCGAAGGGTTTCATTCATGTGTCCAGAAATTCCGTCCGCTGGAGAAGGTGCCAGGTGAGCGGCCCCCTCGTCTGGAAAAAAGAAGTCCCCGAGTCCCACAGCAACCCTACGAGCGTCCTTGAAGCGCAGGCATCCCAAACCCCAAACACTTACTTAAAACCCAAGTATAATATGGTCAATACAGTATAATATAGTATAATATGGTATATTATACTATACTATAGGGTATAATATAGTATAATATGGTATGATATAATATGATGTAATGTAATATAGTATATTATAGTATGTTATTCTATATTATACTCACAGTGTAACCCTAAACGCTCCTGCGGCGGCTCCTGCCAATGCCATCTTGGAAGTGCGCTGCGTCATCGGTTCGAGGACGGGAAAGCAAAGATCCAGTTCGCTGCTTCAGCCGTGACAGTTGCTTCGGCAAATCAGCTTAGGGGGTTTTAGGGTTTAGGGTTTAGGTTTTAGGGTTTAGGGTTTAGGTTTTAGGGTTTAGGGCATGTTGCAAGTAGAGGATGGGGCTAAACAGGCATAACGTGGGATAAATTGGGTGGACCCCCGACCCAGCAACAGCAATAGTGGGTGACTGTAAGGGATAATGAGGATGATATTAGGGCCCTCTTATATTCCTATTGTAGCACTATTACAGGGTGGAGGGTCCTCTTAGGGGATAAAGATGTGGGGTTTGTAGAGCTTTGGTTGAACAGAGAGGAAAGGAAGGCGCCTGAATAACTGCCAATGTAAGTTTGAGGCCATCTGGTGCACCCTCTACCCTAACTATACAAGAAATCTAGGACCACAATGTTGGCGGTCATTTAGGCCCCAAACATCCTGAATTTCCTGTAACCTTACATAACCGCAGTGCTTCTCCACTGTTGGGTACTATGTCCCCATAAACCCTAAGCCCTGACTAGTAGTTTCCGTTTTCTTCTTCA